TTTTTTTTTTTTTTTTTTTTTTTTGAGACGGAGTTTCCCTCTTGTTACCCAGGCTGGAGTGCAATGGCGCGATCTCGGCTCACCGCAACCTCCGCCTCCTGGGTTCAGGCAATTCTCCTGCCCCAGCCTCCTGAGTCGCTGGAATTACAGGCACGCGCCACCATGCCCAGCTAATTTTTTGTATTTTTTTTTTAGTAGAGACAGGGTTTCACCATGTTGACCAGGATGGTCTCGATCTCTTGACCTCGTGATCCACCCGCCTCGGCCTCCCAAAGTGCTGGGATTACAGGCCTGAGCCACCGCGCCCGGCCTTGGCCCTATTTCTTTACAATAAAACAAAAGCGGCCGGGCATGGTGGCTCACACCTGTAATCCCTACGCTTTGGGAGGCCGAGGCAGGTGGATCCCTTGAGGTCAGGAGTTTGAGACCAGCCTGGCCAACAGGGTGAAACCTCGTCTCTACTAAAAATACAAAAATTAGCCAGGCATGGTGGTGGGTACCTGTAATCCCAGCTACTTGGGAGGCTGAAGCAGGAGAATTGCTTGAACCCAGGAGGTGGAGGTTGCAGTGAGCCAAGATTGCGCCACTGCACTCCAGCCTGGATGACAGAGTGAGACTCCCTCTCTAAATAAATAAAATAAAACAAAATCACACTGTGAAGCTTAACTAATTATAAAATATCACGCAGACACACAGGTCAGATTTGAAATTCACCTGCCCTAATGCAGTCTGCTGAACCACTCCTGCAGTACTTATCTGTATTTATCTCAAATGTGGAAGGAAGAAAATAAAATAGAAAGTCCCTCAAATATTCTCATTTTCATATGATTGACCTTTGTAGAGTCTCTTTTAGGCCAAACTGACATGGTTGGAAGCCTGCAACGAATAGCAGTTGGCCATGTCCACAACATGTGATGATTTTCATTTGTTTTAATGTGGAATTCACCACATTACCTAGTTGAATTTTTAAAGATGCCTATAAAATTCCTAAGTCTCTCCAAGAGGCTCTTCCTTTAAAATGCTGGCATTCTTGGCCGGATGCAGTGGCTCACGCCTGTAATTCCAGCACTTTGGGAGGCTGAGGCGGGTGGATCACCTGAGGTCAGGAGTTCAAGACCAGCCTGGCCAACATGGTGAAACCCATCTCTACTAATAAAAATTAGCTGGGTGTGGTGGCACACACCTGTAATCCCAGCCACTCAGGAGGCTGAAGCAGGAGAATCACTTGAACCCAGGAGGCAGAGGCTGCAGTGAGCCGAGATCACATCATTGCACTCCAGTCTGGACAACAGGAGTGGAAATTCCATCTCAGAAAAAAAAAAAAGTAGTAGTCAAAATGTCATGTTTTCTTTTCTAAACTAATAGTCTAAGACGAACCAACTAACAGGATTATCATGGAAATTAAAATAAGCCGGGCACAGTATTCCCACAGTGGCTCATGCCTGTAATTCCAGCACTTGAGGAGGTCAAGGCGGGAGAATTGCTTGAACCCAGGAGTTCAAGACTGGGCAACCGTGGGAAACTCTGTCTCTATGAAAAATACAAAAATTGGTCAGGTAGCTCACACCTGTAATCCCAGCACTTTGCGAGGCCAAGGCGGGCGGATCACCTGAGGTCAGGAGTTTGAGACCAGCCTGACCAACATGGATAAAGCCCATCTCTACTAAAAATACAAAATTATCTGGGTGTGGTGGTGCATGCCTGTAATTCCAGCTACTCAGGAGGCTGAGGTAGAAGAATTGTTTGAGGAGGAGGTTGTGGTAAGCCGAGATCGCACCATTGCACTCTAACATGGGCAACAAGAGCAAAACTCTCAAAAAAAAAAAAAAAAAGAAGAAGAGAAAAGAAAGAAAAATACAAAAATTATCCAGGCATGGTAGCATATGCTTGTAATCCCAGCAACTAGGAGGCTGAAGTGGGAGGATCACCTGAGCCCAGGAGGCAGAGGTTGCAGTGAGCTGAGATCATGCCACTGCACGCCAGCCTCGGCGACAGAGTCTGAGCTTGTCTCAAAAGAAGAAAGAAAGAAAAAAAAAGAACGTAAAATATTTCTTTGAAGCAATTTTCGCCATGCTATGATTAATTCCTATAACTGATACCTGGGCTGTGTGGCACAAAGTTGGGTCTCCTTGCACCTCATCCCCTTTCCCCTCCTTGATGGAAGCTGGAGGCAACTGGCTAAAAATTTGAACTGATGGAGTTGAGGAGAGAAGGCAGAGGAAGGTATTCTAGGCACAGGATGGCCTCCTGGCCCAGCCTGGAGGCATGGTCTTTCCTGGGTGCTCCACTGGAGCACATATCCCACTTCCCACCTGAATGACCCATGGGCCCGCAGGCAGGGCTTATGACACCTCTGGCACTCAGCACAGGGCCAGGCACAGGTGGGCCTCTGAGGATCTGCCGAACAGGGGACTCCAGATACCCAGGAGTGTGGCAGGGGGACACACAAGCAAAGACTCTGGTTATTCAAATATTTAAGGGGAGTGAAGTGACATCTTTGATTTCCTTTAAAATTGCATCACAAAAACAAGACAGACTGATATTAGTCATTACTTTTTTTTTCTTTTTGTTTTTTTAGTTTTTATTTTATTTTTTTGTTTTTGAGACACAGTTTCACTCTTTTCAGCCTGTTGCCCAGGCTGGAGTGTAGTGGCACAATCTCAGCTCAGTGCATCCTCTACCTACTGGGTTCATGTGATTCTCTCATGCCTCAGCCTCCTGAGTAACTGAGATTACAGGTGTATGCCACCATGCCCAGCTAATTTTTTTTTTCTTTTTGAGACGGGATCTTACTCTGTCGCCCAGGCAAGAGGGCAGTGGTGCAATCTCGGCTCCCTGCAGCCTCCACCTCCATCTCCTAGGTTCGAATGATGCACCTGCCTCAGCCTCCCAAGTAACTGGGATTACAGGTATGCACCATCACGCCTGGCTAACTTCTATATGTTTGGTAGAGACAGGGTTTTTACCATGTTGGCCAGGCTAGTCTCAAACTCCTGAGCTCAAGTGAGCCGCCTGCCTCAGCTTCCCAAAGTACTGGGATTGCAGGCATGAGACACCGTGCCTGGTCTCTAGCCATTACTTTCAACGGCAAAAACCACAATTACCTTTGAACCAACCTAACAGACACAAGAATGCATAGATGGACAGATATGTGAGGAAGCAATAACAGCAGTACGTTCTCGGAAGAATCTACATAGTGAGTACACAGGGGTTTGCTATAAAATTCTTAACATTTTTTGAGAAGTTTGGAAATTTTCATAATAAAATGTCAGAGAAAAAACTCTAGCTATTCTTCCAAAAACATGAGCTAAATGGGTTACACGATTTAAGAAAAAAAAAAGGCCAGGCACGGTGGCTCAAGCCTGTAATCCCAGCACTTTGGGAGGCCGAGGCGGGTGGATCACGAGGTCGAGAGATCAAGACCACCATCCCGGTCAACATGGTGAAACCCCGTCTCTACTAAAAATACAAAAAATTAGCTGGGCATGGTGGCGCGTGCCTGTAATCCCAGCTACTCAGGAGGTTGAGGCAGGAGAATTGCCTGAACCCAGGAGGCGGAGGTTGCGGTGAGCCAAGATCACGCCATTGCACTCCAGCCTGGGTAACAAGAGTGAAACTCCGTCTCAAAAAAAAAAAAAAAAAAAGAAAAGAAAAAAAAAGATACTATCAATAAAAGAGGATATAAGTTTTAAATTTCAAAGCATATCCATGACGGATCCTCTCTGACTTGGCCTCCCGGAGAAGGCCAGTCTGGGATTCCAACCTGCCTTGCCCAAGACTCAGGAGGAGCTTCAGAAGACGTCAAAGGCAACAACAAAAATATGGAAGAAATAGATATACAATTATCCATGTAGTTGGCTCAGAAAGGGGCTCAGGCTCACTCTGTAGGTATCAACTGATTCTACCTGTTAAGCTGAAGGCCATTCATTGCAAGGGATACATATTTTCTCTATCTCCATTTTTCTCTTTCTTTTTTTTTTTTTTTTTTTTTTTTTAAGACAGGGTTTCACTCTGTTGCCCAGGCTGGAGTACAGTGGCATGATCACAACTCACCCCAGCCTCCAACTCCTGGGCTCAAGCAATCCTCTCGCCTCAGCCTCCCAAGTAACTGGGACTACAGGCATGTACCACCACAAATGGCCTATTTCCATTTTAAACACTGAATTGGGTGCTTTGAGATTTACCTTGAGGATGACTGAAAAGTCGATGTCTTTTGTTTCCTTCAGTCCAAGAGGAATCAGGGGAATCGTAAATGCCTCCCTGTGAGGAACACAACAAGGTATATATGAACACCCCCAATCGGAACCCTGTGCACCCCATGGCCTTGCCCTGCCAGCAGCCCAGCTAACGTGCACGCCCTCTCCTCGCCCCGTCAAGTACTCATCTAGCCGACAGGCTCATTTTGCATAAGGACAATTCTGGTCACACCCCACCCTCTGCTCTAAAACTAACCCCAGCTCCCTAAGACATCTGGACCACCCCACCTAACACATCAGGCCCCTGGCATCTTGACACTGACTTATCTTCCAGTCTCAATGCCTCAATGCTTCCCTTTTTTCTGAGACAGAGTCTTGCTCTGTCGCCCAGGCTGGAGTGCAATGGTGCAATTCAGCTCACTGCAACCTCTGCCTCCCTGCTTCAAGCAATTCTCCTGCCTCAGCCCTTTGAGTAGCTGGGATTACAGGTATGAGACACCACCCCCGGCTAATTTTTGTATTTTTTTTTTTAGTAGAGATGAGATTTTGCCATGTTGGCCAGGCTGGTCTCAAACTTCTGATCTCAAGTGATCTGCCCGCCTTGGCCTCCCAACGTGCTGCGGTAACAGGTAGGAGCCACCATGCCCCGCCCAGTCTCAATGCTTCTTTCAGCAGTTGTGTTGAGAGTCTGTCGTGTGCCGGCGTCTGGGCCTGGGGCACTTGCTGCTCCCACCTGGGCACACCACCCTGCTGCCCTGGGCCTCCTTTGTCAGCTCCTCATCCCCTCCTCCTGTGCTCCCCTCAGCAGGCACCACTGCTGTGCAGCTCTCCAGCACCCCCACGTTCGCAACTTGGGGTTCGTGGGCGCCTCCTTTGGGGTGTGTCAAGGTGTCCCACCACCAGCACAGGAGATGCCGTCAGGGCAGGAGCCCCATCCGACACCTAAGTGCACCTGCCTTCCAGTCCAGGGTCAGACACCGTCCACCCCCTCTCCCCCAGCTGACCACCTCACTCAGTAACCATGGATGCCCGCCCGGGCAGTGCTCTCTCTGCCTACATTCCTAGGGGCAGGGCCAGCAGGAAGTGAACGGAGCTCAGGCTGTGTTTTGCAAACAGGGATTTAGCTCCCTGACCTGTAACAGGAGACCTCCTTGGGCTTCTCAGCCCTGCCCCACAAGAAGACCAGGAAGGCTGGGCAGAGCAAGGGAACAATGCGGCTGGAAGCTGAACCGGGCTCTGTGGCACAGCTGTGCTACAGGCAGGTGAGACCCATCCCGGGGGTACGGAAAGCTGGATCCTGCTGAAGGCTCCTCCGAGCCATGCAGGGCGGGAAGCAAGCTTTGCTTTTTTTGCAACTGTCCAGGCAACGAGAAGAGGAGGAGCGAGTGTCCTGAGTTCCAGCTCCAGGACACCCCAGCCCCAATGTGGCACTGACAGCACCCTCTAGGTGACCTTGGGCCTCCCTGAGTTTTCCCATCTGCACCATAAGGTCCTTTCTTTCCTGCCTACCTCCTAGAAGAATGTAAAGATCAACTGTGCTAAGAAAGAAACAATCTGCTTAGAAAACAGAATAGTGCAGGCTGGGCATGGTGGTTCACACCCGTAATCCCATCACTTTGGGAGGCCGAGGTGGGGAGGCCTCTCTACTCAAAGTGCAAAAATTATCCAGGCGTGGCGGCGGGTGCCTACAATCCCAGCTACCTGGGAGGCTGAGGAGGGAGCATCGCTTGAGATTGCAGTGAGGCAGAGTCTTGCTCCGTTGGCCTGGCTGTTGTGCAGTGGCATGATCTTGGCTCACTGCAACCTCCACCTCCTGGGTTCAAGCAATTCTCCTGCCTCCGCCTCTGAGAAGCTGGGATTACAGGCGTGTGCCACCATACCCGGCTAATTTTTGTATTTTTAGTAGACAGGATTTCACCATGTTGGCCAGGCTGGTTTCAAACCCTTGATCTCAAGTGATCCACCCGCCTCGGCCTCCCAAAGTGCTGGGATTACAAGCATGAGCCACCGTGCCTGGCCTCACAAGTGCCTTTGTGCCCAATACTGCAGGTATTTCCCAACAAATGGGCTCCTCCCTTCCAGTCTAGCACCTTGCTCAACCCCAAACCTGATGGTTCTCTCAACTCCCAAAGTGGGGGCTGCCACTCCCCTGTCTAGAACCCCATCTGGCCTCTTTGTGCAGACCCTGAAGGCAGGCAGGCTCTCCGGCTCAGAGGTGTCTGGAAGGTGCGCTGCTCCCACTTACTCTGTATTCTGATAGACCCCCAATGAGATGTTCAGCCCCTCCAGCTCTTCCTTGAGGATTTGCAGGTCTGAGTTGACGAAGCTCAGCTCCAGCCGCGCTTGCTCCCGCACCTTCGGGTTTGTGGCCACTCTATTCAACGAGAAGAGGGAGAGAAGTGCCCTCAGCTGGGTATCCCGGCTTCTGGGTGAACAGACTCAATCCCCAGTCCCTGCAGGGAGGATCAGGGCATGGCCTGCAGAGGAGTGCCAGGCGTTCCGGGTAAGGTATCTCAGAAACACAGGGCACCTGCCCAGCTTGCAGCACATCTGCCAGCGCATGGAGCTGGGGACACAGGCAATGACACTGTGAGCTGCAGACATGAACTCTCTGACATCCTGCAAAAACTCAGCCTTGAGAAAACAAAACTGCTCCCAGCCATGCCCTAAAAGGCTGTAAGATATCCCCTTGAAAAGAAACAAATGATTACTTTCAGTAGGAGAAATTAAAATAAATAAATAAACAAATAGAAAATTTGTTTTAAAAAAAAGAAAGAAATGGACAATTAGCTATGCATGGTGGCAGATGCCTGTAGTCCCACTACTCAGGAGACAAGGTAGAAGGACTGCTGGAGCCCAGGAGGTTGACACTGCAGTGAGCTATGATCCTGGGTGACAGAGCAAGACACTGTCTCTAATAACCACAATAAAATAAGATGAAATCAAATATAAAAATATAGGCTGGGCACAGTGGCTCACACCTGTAATCCCAGCACTTTGGGAGGCCCAGGTGGGCAGATCACGAGGGTCAGGAGATCAACACTATCCTGGCCAACATGGTGAAACCCCGTCTCTACTAAAAATACAAAAATTAGATAGGCATGGTGGTGCGTGCCTGTAATCCCAGCTACTCAGGAGGCTGAGGAAGGAGAACTGCTTGAACCTAGGAGGTAGAGATCGCAGTGAGCCGAGATCGGGCCAGTCCCTCCAGCCTGCCAACAGAGCAAGACTCCATCTAACACACACATATACACACACACACACACACACACACACACACACATACACAGATAGAAAGTAAAATAAAATAAATGAATGAGAAACCAGAGGAAGAGGTAATGCTTCCAAATTCATTCTATGAGACTAGTATTAGCAACCCAAATCTGGTAACATAAAATAGGATTATACTCCATAACCAAGTGGGATTTATACCAGGAATGTAAGGTTGGTTTAACATCTGAAAATCAATTAATATACCATATTAACAGAATAAAGGACAAAAAAAAATCCATGGAGACTTCAACAGATATTTTAAAAAGTAGGGGACAAAATCCATCACAGATTCATAATAAAAATTCTCAGCAAAGTAGAAATAAAAGAGAATTTATGAAATCTGATAAAAGACACCTACAAAAACCCACAGCTAACATCACACTTCATGGTGAATGACTGCTTTCCTCTTCTCACCAGGAACAAGGCAAAGATGCCCACTTTTGCTACTTCTAATCAATAAGGAGGCAAATAAAGAAATTAAAGGCATCCAGATTAGAAAGAAATAAATAAAACTATATTCACAGATGGCATTATCTTATATATAGAAAATCCTAAGGCATCCATACAACAATATTAGTACTGATAAATTTAGCAAGGTCACAGGGTACAATCAATATACAAAAATCAAATCTTTTTTTTTTTTTTTCCTAGACTGGGTCTGCTCTGTCACCGAGGCTGGAGTGCAGTATCACCATTATGGATTACTACAGTCCCAAACTCCCAGGCTGAAGCCATCCTCCAGCCTCAGCCTCCCCAGGAGCTGGGACCACAGGTGCATGCTGCCACGCCCAGGTAATTTTTGTATTTTTTTTTTTTTTGTAGAGATGAAGTCTCACCATGCTGCCCAGGCTGGTCTGGAAATCCTGGGCTCAAGCAATCTTCCTGCCTCAGCCTCCCAAAATGCTGGGGTTACAGGCATGAGCCATCGTGCCTGGCCAATTCTATTTCTATATACTAGCAATGAACAATCTTGAAATTGAGAAAAACATTTCATACACAATAGCATCAAAAAGAATAAAATAGGAATAAAAAGAATCACAAGACACATAAATTGAAAGCTACAGAAACAATGCTGAGATATATTAAAAGAAAAGCTATTTCATGTTTATGGATGGGAAGGCTCATTATTGTCAAGACACCAAGCCTCCTTAGTTGGTACATTCACTCTATGCAGCCTCAATCAAAATTCCACTAACCTTTTTAATAGACAAGCTGATCCTAACATTTATACAGAAATACAAAAAAAAACCTACAACGGGCAAAACAATTTTGAAAGATAAGAACAGAGTGGGAAGACATGTTATTTGATTTTAAAACTTGCTAAGAAGCTGAGCTGGGCGTGGTGGCTCACGTCTGTAATTCTAGCACTTTGGGAGGCTGAGGGGGGTGGATCACCTGAGGTCAGGAGTTCGAGACCAGCCTGGCCAACATGGTGAAACCCCATCTCTAATAAAAATACAAAAAACTAGCCAGGCGTGGTGGTGGACGCCTGTAATCTCAGCTACTCGGGAGCCTGAGGCAGGTGAATCACTTGAATGGGGGGGGTGGGGCGGTGCGGTGGGGGGGGGGTCATGATTGTAGTCAGCTGAGATCACATCACTGCGCTCCAGCCTGGGCAACAAGAGCAAAACTCCATCTCAAAAAAAAAAAAAAAAAAAAGAAAGAAAAGAAAATGAAAATAAAAAGACAAGCCACAAACTGGGAAAAAATACTTTCAAATTATATATCTAATAAAGAATCTGTATCCTGGCTGGATGTGGTGGTTCATAACACTTTGAGAGGCTGAGGAGTGTCAGTCACTATTTAAACCAGGAGTTTGAGACTAGCCTGGTGAACATGGTGAAACCCCATCACTACTACAAATACGAAAATTAGCTGGGGGTGGTGGTACGCACCTGCAGTCCCAGCCACTTGGGAGGCTAAGGCAAGAAAATTGCTTGACCCCACGAGGTGGAGGTTGCAGTGAGCTGAGCACACACCACTGTACTCCAGCCTGGGCAACAGAGTGAGATTCGCTCTCAAACAAAAAAAAAAAAAAAAAAAGTTTTCAAGCAGAGCTTTTGAAATCTACTCAAAGACCTTAACAGGTGCTCCCTCACACTACAGATTAGGAATCACCACTAAAATAACAGAACCAGTAACAACCACGTCCTAAATGAGGCCTGTGCTGGGCCTGTGTCAGTGAACCTTAGACGAGAGAAATCATCCTCATTTCACGGATGAGGAAGCCTGAGGTTCATTAGCCAACAGCTCTGGCCAGCCAGAGAGACTGAGTATCTGACCTCTGTCCCTTCCTCTGCTGATGAAAACTCAGCCACCTGTCACCTGATTGTTTTGCTCACCACCTGGCCACCCTTCCCGCCAAGAGAAACGCCAATGCCCTTCATTCACCGACAGTCTGCTCTCTCCTGAGGTTCTCCCTGACCTTGCCACGTGTGACAGCACTTACCCTCTTGTGGCCCTGGAAGTCTGCACACGCGCACATTTGGATTCCTCCAGACAATAAAATATTGGAATCTCAGCGTAGTGAATTTCATCAATTTAGAGATTTGTGTGTGTGTGTGTGGCTATGACACCAGTAAGAAATACATTTTAGGCCAGGTGCAGTGGTTCATATCTGTAATCCCAGCACTTGGGGAGGCTGAGCCTGGCAGATCACTTGAGGCCAAGAATTCAACATCAACCTCAGCAACATGGTAAAACCGTATTTCTACTAAAAGGACAAAAATTAGCCAGGCATGGTGGCGCATGCCTGTAGTCAAAGCTACTGAGGAGGCTGAGGCAGGAGAATTGCTTGAACCCAGGAGGCAGAAGTTGCAGTGAGCCGAGATTGCACCACTGAACTCCAACCTGGGCAATAGAACAAGACTCCGTCTCAAAAAAAAAGAAACACATTTTATATCACAACTCAGTACGTGCATGCACACACACACAGAGACCATGCCCCTTTTGTGAGACACAAAAGTCTCAAAAAGTCATAGATGTGATCCACTCCAACATATTCTATTCTACTCTGATAACTGCTTTTTTAAAAAACAATCATGTCTGCGACCTTCTCATTCTCTGATTATCAGACACTGACTGGGTATGCAACAATTCAATTAGATTCTGACCCCCACTCCTGGGGTAAGCACATACACCAGAGTAGAGGCCCGGTCCCACAAGGCTGCCCCCATTTTAGGGACCACACATCCCAGGAGAGGGGGGATACCTGCGCTTCTGACTGATGAACTGTCAATCGAGGGTTCCTATTGCTGCTTCTCAGGTTTGGTAATTCACCAGAATGACTCCCAGTACTCAGGAAAGCACCTGATGGACCAGTACTGGTTTATGTTAAAGTATTCAACCCAGGAACAGCTAATTGGAAGAGGTGCACAGGGCAGGTTATGGTGGGAGAGGGGCAGCGCTTCCATGCACACTCTGGGCACCTCAATGTGTGCACCAACCCAGAAGCTCCCTGAACCTCATCGTTTAGGGTTCATTTTTGGGGGGACAGGGTCTCGTTTTGTCACCTAGGCTGGAGTGCAGAGGCATGATCACAGCTCACTGCAGCCTTGCCCTCCAGGGCTCAAGGGATCTCCCACCTCAGCCTCCCAAGTAGCTGGGACTACAGGCATGCACCACCACATCCGGCTATTTTTTAAATTTTTTGTCGAGACGAGATTCTACCACGTTGCCCAGGCTGGTCTCAAACTCCTGGGCTCAAGCAATCCACCCACCTCAGCCTCCCAAGTGGTAGGATTACAGGTGTGAGCCACCGCACCCTACCTTATTTCATTCTTTGTAGAGATGGTGTCTTGCTATGCTGCCCAGGCTGGCCTCCAACTCCTGGGCTGAAGTGATCCTCCCTTATCCTCCTGAGTAGCTGGAACTACAGATACGCACCATTGCACCTGGCTAATGTAGAAGGTTTTTTGGTTTTGAGACAGTGCCTCGCTCTGACCCCAGGGCTGGAGTGCAGGGCATGATCTCAGCTCCCTGCAACCCCTACCTCCCGGATTCAAGTGATTCTCCTGTCTCAGTCTCCAGAGTAGCTGGAATTACAGGCACCTGCCACCATGCCCGGCTAATTTTTGTATTTTTAGAAGAGATAAAGTTTTG